GAATTCCATTCCTCTTTAATTTGTTTTTCCTGGCATAGTAGTCCATGTGGTTGTCAGATTCAAAATGGCCAATACTGATCCACTTCAGCTCATGAATGCCTAGGATGTTGATGTGTAACCATTCCATTTTTGATAATTTTCCTAGATTCATACTTCATACATCCCATGTTCTGATTATTAATGGATGTTTACATCTGTTTCTCTTTATTTTGAGTTGTGCCCCATCAGCAAATGAAGGCCCCTAAGTAGCGTAGTAGTTATGAATTGGGCTATGAACCTTAAGGACAGCAATTCGAAACTACCAGCTGTTCTATGGGAGAAAGATGTGGCTTTCTGCTCCTGTAAAGATTTACAGCCTCAGAAACCCTGTACAGGGTCGCTATGAATCAGAACTGACTCCACAGCACATAACTACCACCACCAAGACTTTACTTAATTTGCATCGTCATGGTCACCTCTTGAGGAGGCAGCTCTTCCCGGGTCATATTTTGAGTGTCTTCCAACCTGAGGTGATTATTTTTGGGCACTGTATCTGACAATATTCTGGTGTTCTTCATCAAGATTCAATATTCAATAAACTCGTCTTGACAGTGTTCTACTGCTATTCATAAGATTTTCAGTGACCAAATAAATATTCAGAAGTAGTCTGTCATTCCTTCTTCCTAGTCTGTGTCTGGAAGCCCAGCTGAAACCTATCCAGTATGGGTGACCCTGCTGGTATTTAAAATACCTATAGCATAGCTTCCAAAATCACAGCAATACACAAGTTACCACAGTATGACAAATTGACAGACAAGTGGTGAATATATATATAGCCCTGGTGTGGGCCTGAGGGACTATGCACTGAACTATAAGATCAGTTTGAATGAAATGCAAACAGCTAATTCTGGCAGTGAGCTATGGTGAGTGGCAGGAGATTAAGATGGCATAATAAATTAATTAAGGATCAAAGGTTAAAATTTACAGATTCTTCCCTGAAAGCAGTGGTGAAACTGGAAATGTGTTGGCAGTGAATCAGAAAAGGTCACTTTATTCTTGGAGATATTATCTTAACTCAAATAAATAAATGCTCAATTGTGGTGATTCTAGTTCTGTGGCAGCTCAGCAGGGAAAACTTTGTAACAACTCTATGCATTAGATATTCATCCTTGTTTTAGCTATATTACTTTCTCACATTTAAAGCTAACTCTCTCTTTTTTAAGGAGCTATAAACATTTCAGTTAAAGGTTCAGTTGTTGCAGCTCAAAATGCACCAACAAGAAAGTTTTCAAAATCTTCACAGGCTGCTCCAGATGCAGACAGAATGAATGAGGTACAGTCTTATGATTATCATAGGTATTGGTATAAAATAATTTCTTTAAATAAGAAAACATAGAACTAATACCCTGAAATATATCATACTCTAGTAAAATTTTAGTCACCCTTGGGTACACTGAAGAACATCACCTGCATTATCACCTGCAATGTTCTGAGGCAGCATCAAATTGAGCTGCTTTGAATATTTTTTTTCTAATAGTGCTAATAGATCGCTCAGAGACAGACGTTTTCTTTTGACTAGTGATTAGCAAGTGACCTGTTGTAGTATTACCAACAAAGATTCAGAGTGCAGTCTCTGGACATACTACGTATTTTTGAAGTTGCCGATCTTCTATTATAGGAATAAAATCCACATCATGTTCCTGGTTTAGCTGTGCTAAAAAATGCATGTGGTTTGAAATATTCTAATAAGCTGAAAAATTCATAGATTTTCACCAAGAAATACTATTGTTTAGAGTAGAAGGTGGCACAATTTTCCATGTCCTATAATATATAGTAGTGGAGTTCTGGTGGGGTGCTGAGCTTAATGCACTGGATTGCAAAGTTGGTTTGAAAAACAAGGTCCGTGGTTCAAGCTCACGAGCTGCTCCTCGGAAACCCTACACAGAGTCGCTGTGAGTCAGAACCGACTCGACAGCACTTAACAGCAACAACAACAATGTAATATATAGTGGTGTCCTGGTGTGGTGTGTGGGTTAATGTGCTGGACTGCACAGTTGGTTTGAACTGCAAGGTCGACAGTTCAGCTTACCAACCACTCTTTGGAAACCCTAAACAGGATGGCTATGAATTGTTACCGACTCAAAAGCACTTAACAACAACAACATTATATACAGTAACTGACAGACTCAATTATGCATAACCAATAAAATATAGAAATGGTCCCATGGTATGCTTCTTAGTAGCATAATTTTATTATAAGCATTTTATAAGCTCATATGGTTGGGGACTTGTGTAGGGTTGGGGGCACTCTGCTAACTTATATATGCTTGGAGCCTGAAAAAAGAAACTTTTAACTACTTTCACAATTTGAAGTCCTTATATTATACAATAGACTTGAAAGTCAATGCTCTTGACTGAAAATCCTTCTATATTAAAAAAAATAATGATTATTGACTTAGTGTTGGTAATGTTTCGGTTATTAACTTTACAATCCATATTACTACAATGAGTACTTTTAATGGCCACAAATATTGAATTCATTTTGAGACATAGCATAAACATTTTTATTGTGACTTTTTCCAAATGTACAAAACCCATCACTATCAGAAACATATTTCTGATGTATTTAGCTTATATTGGATTAAAAAAATGAAGTGTATCCCACTGAATATATCTTCCTGTAAATAACATCTGATAAAGCCCTGTAGGTACAGTTGGTTAAACTAAACAAAATGTCAGTGGCTCAAACCCATTACATTAGACATTCCATGGAAGAAATATGAGTCAGTGTACTTCCATAAAGGTTTACAGCCTTGGAAATCCTGCTTAGAAGTTCCACTCTTTCCAATGCCATTGATAGTAGTTTCATAGTAACTTGTTTTAGTAGGTTGAGTTTGCAGAGATTGGCTCTCTGTTTTCCAGCTCTCCTTAAACTGTCCTTCAATTGTTAGCCCTATTTAAAACACACATTTTTGTCCTGTTAAGTTCTTTGTTGAATAGTGGTTCACAGATAGATAATTTTAGGATATAAATGAATAACTTTTTTGAGACTGCTATTTTAGAAATACCTGGTTTGAAAGTTGTCCCATAGCTGGTGTCTGGGAACTTGGCTGATAATGGTTCACTTTATTGGTAAGAACTTTCCCCTGAGAAGACTTTTTTACTCTGCCTAAATTGTTAAAACAAGTCATTTTTGCTGAACATCTACTTTCCTCCTGGTAGTCTAGAATTTTGGTATGTGCTGAGGAGAAAGTACTAACATGATAAACCTCAATTAAAAACTTTGAGTGCCAAGGAATTTCTAATGGAATTCCCAGGGCACACACGTTACTGCATTTCTTATTGCTGGTGAAAAGAACACCCTAAAATATGGAAGGTAGAGAGTATAAAGAAAACTCTGCTTTGATTTATCTAGACTCAACTGGTACCTTTTTTCCTTTTCTGAGTCTATGTACATCCTTTGCTATAATAGATCTTAGACCTGAGTACAACTATATGCTGTGTTACATGAGCGCTAACAGATAACTATATTGTCTTGTGGATTCCCAATACAACAAAGAACTTCTGAATTTCATAAATATTATATATAATATAAATAAAACTGTATAGTTATAGTCAATAAGTTTTTTAAACCTTTTGCAAATTTCTATATTTTAGATAAAAAATAATAGCTGACATTTAAGTTTGAGAAAAAATTGTATCTTTGAGATCTGTTTTTTTTTTTTGCATATTATATAGAAAGAAATAAATGCTGATTTGAATGAAAGATCAGCCCGGGGACCTTACCGCTCTGAATCAGGTAAATATTGGAAATATTTATTCAGTTAATCATGTAAACTGCTAATTCATTTCTCCAACAAGCATTTATTGAATTCCTGCTTTATACCAACTAAGGTACTAAGTACCTTGAACATTTGTTGTTGTTAAGTACTGTTGAGTCAGCTCTAACTCATAGCAACCCTATATAAGGTTTCCAAGAAATAGTGGGTTTGAACTGTCACAGAAAAACAGTGGTTTCCATTTAAGGCTATTACATTGTATTGGGGATGTATGTATATTACTAACTGATGATAGGAATCTTTGAGTGCTATAAATGGTTAACTCACTAAGCTACTAGCCAAATGGTTATCAGATCAAACCCACACATAAGTACCTCAAAAGAAAAGCATGGAAGGATGCTTCCAAAAAAGTCAACCTTTGAAAGCCCTATAGATTACTTTACTCTGGCATACGTGAGGTCCTAAAGAGTAGAATAGATTCTACAGAAAATGGTTTTACTAGTAATTTTACTATAAGTGCAATATAAGAAAGTATGTGTGTATTCATGTAAAAGTCAGAGGAATTATAGGGGAAACAGCATATAGGTCTACCTACTGCTGTCAGAGAAGCATTAATAAAAAAAGGTTAATATGAGCCATGAGAATTAAAAGAAATTTTCTATTTCAATTTTGAGAAAATTAACACATTATGGTATTAGGTATTTCCATTTATACATCACTGTATAATTTGTCATTTTTGGAACTTGACTTGAATGTAATCCCATTGTAAGTATGTTTTATTATTATATATATTATACATATATTAGTTCTGATGTAGTGTCATAGGATAATACACTGGACTGCAAGGTCAGTTTGAGTCACAAGGTTGGGAGTTCAAATCTACCAGGAGCTCCTCAGAAACCCTATACAGGGTCGCTATGAGTTGGATTCGACTCAATGACACTTACCTACAAAAACAACGTATTAGTTCTGTGTTTTTAAAAAGTTTATTCCAATGTAGTTTATGATGTTTTTCATGTAGTTCTTCTGGTTTCAGGAGACAGGAGACTGATGTTCATGTGTTCCATTAGTTCCTGGAACTAATTGATTTCAAGTGTCTTCAGTTTTCATCACTCTTGTTTCCTCCATGCATGGAGAGTCTAATAGTTGCACACTAGAAGACCGCTAATGTTTAAGATCCCAGTCACTACTCCCTAAAGTAGGATATAGAACACTGTCTTAGGTGATTGATTATATTATGTCAACTGACTATGGTTCTCAGGCCCCAGGCCCAGCAACTCGTTGTTTCAAGGTGTTTGGTAATATCTAAGAATGTTTCATAATTTTGCCCACTGTGTGCTCCACAACATTCATAGATGTGTTTGCAGTGAAAGTAAATGTTGTTATTGCTAAGTGCTGTCAATTTGATTCTGACTCATAGCAATTCCATATAGGCTTTATAAGAAGTAGCTGGTGGGTTTCAACTGCCAACCTTGTGGTTCCCAGTCCAGGGCTGATTCTACAGTGCCACATCAGGAGTCCTTGAAAATAAATATTCATGTACAAATATCCTCTGTCATACCTGTTCCCTATTTATCTGTCCATGTACCTACCTGTAGAACACTTGTAGCAGTGTTGTATATATAACAGTATATATGTCTATTCTCTTTAGTGCTTCTATTCCTCCTGTTTGGTCACCTGCTTTCATCCTTCCTCTGCCAACCTCCCTTTTGTATATTGCCCTCCCTGTCATACATATCTACTCTACAGCTAGTGAATTACTCCTACTTCTCTCCCACCCCTGGTAACCATCAAAGAATTTTTCTTTCAGCATGAACTCCTTTTGTTGAAATTTTTCAATAGTGGTCTCATACAATATTTGCCCTTTTGTGATTGATTGATTTCAAACATCATAATGTCCTCAAGGTTCATACATGTTATGTGGTGTTTCATGAGTTCATTGTTACTCTTTAACATTTTGTAGTGTTTCTTTGTGTGAATGTACCAAAACTAGTTTATCCATTCTTCCATTGATGGGCTAAACTGCTGCCCATCTTTTTGCTACTGTGAGTAGTACTGCATTAGACATGGATATACATGCATCTGTTTGTGTCATGGCTCTTGTTTCTTATACATATATAACAAGTAGAGGGATTGTTGCTATTTCCAACTTTTTGATGAAGCACCATACCATTGTCCCAAAGTTGTTGTACCATTTTACAGTCCCACCAGAAGTGTAGGTGGGTCCCAATCTCTACACTCTTACCAGCATTTTTTGTTTTCTTTTTTTTCCTGAATTTTGCTATTAATGGTGGAGTGAGATGATATCTCAGTATTGTTTTGATATATATCTCTCTAATGGTCTTCAGCATTTCTTCAGATGTTTATTAGCGGACTGAATGCCTTCTTTGGTGAAGTGTCTGTCCATGTTTTCTGCCCATTTTCAAATTGGATTATTTGTCTTTATCTTTTAGAGGTGTTCAAGTTTTCAATAAATTTTAGAGATCAGTCCCTTGTATGAGATGTCATTACAAAAAATTTTTTCCCAGTTTGTGGGATATCTTTGTACTTTTTTGGTGAAATTTTTTGATGCACATGTCTTCTTTTTAGGAGGTCCCGTCACCTAGTTTTTATTCTGTCATTTGTATGTTTTTATGCCATGTATTAGGACCTACTTTTTCAACTATGATCTATATATTTCTTGGTTTTGTGTTGCAATATTTAATTTACATTGAGTTGGTTTTTGTATATGTGCGAGATATGGATCTTGATTATTTTTCTACAAATGAATTTCTAGTTTTACCAAAACCATTTGTTAAAGAGACTATCTTTTCCCCATTTAATGTGTTATGACCCTTTGTCAAAGATCACCTGACTGTATATAAGTGGATTTACTTTTGGGTTCTTAATTCTGTTCCACTGATCCATGTGTTTTTCGTTGTACCTGTACCAGGCTATTTTGACCACAGTAGATATGTAGTGGGTTTTGAAACCAGAAAGTGAGAGGCCTCCTATATTTTTCTTCTTCTATAGTAATGTTTTGCTTATCTAAAGTCTCTTTCCTTTTAATATAGTTACTGATCAGTGTTTGCATGTCTTTTTTAAAGAATAATGTTGGAATTTGGATTGGGATTGCTTTGGGTTGTGTTCACATTTTCACAAAGTTAAAATCTTTCTATTTATGTTTTTAAATAGTAATGTATTTCAAACTTTACTTCTCAGATCTGTGCACTCTTAATTTCAGCTTTCTTCTCTCTAAAGCTGAGCACACACAAAAACATTACAAACTCAAGAGGATTACATATTAAATGAGACATTTTATAATCATCAGTTGTTTCTGTTGGCTACTCATTTGTTGGACAAAATAAAAGTTACCAATTAAATTAGACTTTGAACTGGTTCTGATTATTAACACTACTTTCTGTGATCAGAGTATCTCATATATTTACATAGAGATGTTCTATATAATGACTGCCTATCATCTTTATTCATGGAGTCCTGGTATGGTGCTGTGGGTTAATGCACTGGACTGTAAGGTCAGTTTGCATTGCAAGGTTGGTGGTTCAGGCTCACCAGCTGCTCCTTGGAAACCATATGCAGGGTTGCTATGAGTTGGAACTGTCTAGATGGCACTTAATTATCTTTATTCAGAGTATTTACAGAAGTCTAATTATGGAGTCCTGTTATATTATGTACAAAACAGGTTAAGACAATATTTGTGTGGGAAGATACTAATCAAAGGCAGATCAATGAATAAATATTGAATAAATACATTAATTAAATAATGTAGTCAATAAATGTTTTAGAGTACTTTCTCTATGTTATTGTTATGAATTTATATGCTCTTCAAGGAAAAATAGAAAAAATAAATAATCAAAGTACAGCATAATGAATCTTAGAAGAATGTATAGAGTAATTTGGAGTACTGGGAAAGGGCATTTTTTTACTTAAACATGTTCAAGAAAGTCTTTTGAGAGGAATTAATATAGACTGAATAAGACCCAAAAGATAAGAAATAAATTTAAAATGATACAGGCTGCTTCAGAAAAAGAAAATAACAAGATCATTGGCTCATATTCACAAAAACCATGATACATTTAAAGAGTTTCATGTTATTCAGTGCCTCTGTTTTATAAAGTCACCATGAGCTGGAATCAAGAGAGCAGCTTGGGATTAGTTTTGGTACCATACCATGCACAGAAAATCAGTCAAAGATGACACTGGAGATGTAAACATGGATGTGAAATCTAAGGGCGTATTTTATGCTTTGCTAAAGAATTTGGACTTCAAGTGGCAATGATGGGGATCCTTGGCATTTTTCAAACATGGTAGTGACAACAAAAAGAAAAAAAAAATCAATTAAAGGATGTTAATTACCATTTTGCAAGGAGCTGTGAAAGGATGCAAATTAAATACTATTTTCCTTTTCTGGTAAATAGGACCTCAGGCTCATACTACATCCCAAGGTATTTTCTCTTCTCGTGTTTTGTCAAATACGTAAGTATATAAAAAATTTCTGAGTAGTTATAAATTATATATTAATAATTAACGCAACTTGCTTACTTTATTCTTCTAGTTCTGCATGGATTTGGAAAGTTCTCGGCACTTACTTTATATTTTAAAGTTGTTGTTGTGTTAAGTGCTGTCGGTTAATTAATCGTGTTCTCCTACCTCCTCCCCTGTGGTTTTCCCTGTATTTTGGATCTTGATTCCACTTGTAAGTGTAATCCCACCATGACCTCACCAGCTCAAGTTGCTTCCCAGGATCTGGACTTACCCCTTTTCCTCTCCCCTCTTGAAATATTTACCATTACATAAGTCATTTGAGGTTGTTGGCTTTCTAAGGATGATAAGATATTTTACTGTATAGTATTAATGACTTAATTTGTTATTCCCTCCGAAAGAGTATTTTGCAGTAGTACAAAATCATCAATCTCTAATGTTGGGGAATGTACAGGCTTTTGGATAAGTTTTTTGTTTGTTTGTTTGTTTTTGTTTTTGTTTTTTAGGAGCGGGTGAGGAAGGCACTGGGGGATGTTTGATTCTTTAACCCTTGTTAACTGCCTATTTGTTGGTATGTCTGTTTTTGTTGATCGTGAGAGGAGGAAGAAAGACTATTATTTCAGACAAAATCCATTATCTTTTTTTTTTAATTCAACAAATAAAATCCCTAGTTGCTATGAAAATGAATTATGTAGAGGAAAGTGATATTGACATATTCAGACCAGGAGGAAGGCTCTTGACTCTAGTATGTCAGTTTGTCTAACATCCTGAGGATTCATAGGATACATAGTAGTGTAATAGGTGCAGAAGGAAGGAAATGGACTAGTCCCATTGATAGTAATTGGAAAAGACAAAGAACAATCGTGGATACACTTTATAAAGTAAATTTTTATTAAAATAGGTGGTCTGCTTCTTTAGAGCAAAGATTAGATAAGACTTATTAAGTATTCTTGTCTTTACACCTTCTCTTGCCACAGACTACAGAATTACAAAGTCACTTGAATCGTTACGTAGGAAATATTTTGAATACTCTTTAACTGAATATCATCTCATTCTGCATGTCCTGGAACTTTCATCATCACTTATTCCCTAAAATACCATACTTTAGTAGCACCTTGCCTAACACCAGGTCAGAACACAAAAAAATACAATTGATGGTATTTTTTGGTCTCTGTCACACCAGCGTCATGTTCCTCTTGACTGATTTAACTCCATAGCTCATAAGATTTAATACAGTGTCCTTAATTTTGTTTCTGCATGTGTCTCTTCCTTTGATCTTTATCACTTAACGTTCTCTGTTTTTATACTGCTTATACAAAAGTCAAAGACAGTAGCATAAATAAAATAGATGCAGAATTTCAGGATCAAGTGAATAAAGATGACACAAATAAGATAGCAGTGAGGAGAAAATGAATTGCAATAATTAAGCATTACATTTCAATAAAGAGTAATTTTGTATGATTGGGATGGATGATATAAGAACAATAAAGAAAGGAGCAAATCTGCCACCATGAATACAGTAGTTAGAAACTATACATTTGTTTATTGGGTTAAAGGAGGGATGTGATATGGCCAAATTAGTTAGACATGGTAGATTACTTGGATAACAGCATATCTGACAGAAAGAAGACCAAAAAAAAATTGGAACCCGTACTGGAAGTCTCTTAGTGAGTAGTGGCCAGCACCAACTCATCATTTTTGGATTAGATATAAATATTCACAGACACAAAACACTTTAAATGAAAATCTATTAATCAGACATTTATTGAGAACCTACTGTATTCAAAGCATATGGGTTAGATATAAGGCAGATACCAAGATGTAGCTCTGTAGGATAAGCATTGGACTATGAGCCACAACATCAGTAGTTCAAGCCCACCAGCTGCTTCTCAGAAACCCTATACCAGGTTTCAATAAGTCTGAAAGGATTCCATTAACCCTTAATAACAACAACAACACAACAAACTTCAGATGTGTTTAACAATACATTGGAGGAAATAGGTTGACAAAAATAGTACCAGAGGGAGGAGTGGAAAAAGTGGAGAATTTCAATCTAATCATTAATGTGGACAACTCAACCACCCACCCAGATATATTGACTTTATAATTGGAATGCCAGTGATAAAATATACAGGTGCTAATTTTAAATCCTATTCCAGGCAAAAGAATGAATGAATGAATTAGTCAGGAGAATGAACTATGTGTCATGGAAGATCGAGTAGTATTGTGTATCACGCCAAGCTTTTAAACATAAACTATCTTCTCCCATAAAGACTTATAGCCTCAGAAACCCTGTACAGGGTTGCTGTGAGTTGGAACCGACTCCACAGCACATAACCACCACCACCACCATATAGACTTGGATTGAGAAACTACCTATTTGGAAGTATTAAATAAATAGAACTAATTTATTCTCACCATAGTAATCTTCAATTGGTGAGGTCAAGTAGTTAAAGATATATACATTTTTGACTAAAGAGGAGGTTGAATGGAGGATAAAGTCAAGAGTAGAAAATTATATTTTATATTCTTTTATGATATAGCATTTTAAACTGAAATCTATATTTTGTTCTTGAGGCATTTCAACTGATTGCCATTGATAAGAGTTGATTCAACAATCCAAACAAGAAATATTTTGTGTTAGTAAGGTTAACATAATCAGAAGCTTATCAAGAAGAATTTCCTCAGACTAGGAAAACTCGGATGTATGGTAGTCAACAAGTTATTTATATAGAACAATCATGTCATTCTTGGAATTATGGTGGAACTTCTCAGTACAGCGTCTGGTTGTCTGGTTCATTTGCATGTTTATGTTCCATTAACTCCAAAAGATTTTGTCCTACTTTATTGCAAATTTCAAACGATATCACTTTATCTGATTATTTCTTCTTTTGGAAAAATATTTAACACACTTTACAATTCACTTTTTATAGCGTACAGTTCAGTGCTTTTTAGCATATTCACAAGTTGTGCAATCATTATCACAGTAAATTTTAGAGTATTTTTATCACCTCAGAAAGAAAACTTGGACCGTTAAGTTCTATCCTCTCTTCCCATATCCCTTCTCCGAGCCCTTGTTGTTATTGCTAAGTGTTATAGAGTTGATTTTGACCCATAGTGAACCTATACAGCGTTTCCAAGGAGCAGCTGATGAGTTTGAACAATTGATCTTATGATTCAAACTGAGTTTGTACTCCCAGCCCTATGCAACCTCTAATCCATTTCCTGTCTCTATAGATTTTCTGGCTGTTTATTTTTTTCATTTAACATATTTTTCAGTTCCACCTGTTGTACTTCATTACTTTTAATATCTAAATAATATTTCATTGCACTGATATATCGTATTTCATATATTCATTCTTCAGTTGATGAACTTTTTGCATTATATGAAAATACATTAAAAAAAATTTTTTGTATGAACATATACTTTTAATTTGGAGGGGTATATACCTAGGAGAGTTGTGGGATAACATCATCAACATCATACAGGTAAAAAGTAAAAAGTCATTAAGAAGATAAGAAAGAAGAAAAAGTCAGATTGGATGTCAGAAGAGACTCTGAAACTTGCTCTCCAGCAAAGAGATGCTAAAGCAAATGGAAGAAATGAGGTACAAGAGCTGAACAGAAATTTTCAAAGATCAGTTTGAGAAGATAAAGCCAAGTATTACAACAAAATGTGCAAAAATCTGGAGTCAGAAAACCAAGAAGGAAGAACACTGTCAGCATTTCTCAAGCTGGAAGAACTGAAGAAAAAATTCAAGCCTCTACTTTCATTATTGAAGGATTCTCTGGGCAAATTATTGATGATGCAGAAAGCATCAAGAGAAGATAGAAGGAATACGTAGAGTCACTGTACCAAAAGGAAATGGGTAATAGTCAACCATTTCAAGAGGTAGCATATGATTAAGAGCCAATGATACTGAAGGAAAAAGTCCAAGGTGCATTGAAGGAATTGGCAAAGAACAAGGCACCAGGAATTGATGGCATAAAAATTGAAATCTTTCAAGAAAGTGAGGCGGCACAAGAGGCACTCACTCAAATTTCTGCCAAGAAATTTGGAAGACAACTATCTGGCTGACTTATTGGAAGAGTTCCATATCTGTGCCCATTCCAAAGAGAGGTGACCCAATGAAATACAGAAATCATCAGCCAATATTTTTTTTTTATATCCCATGCGAGTAAAATTTTACTAGAAGTAATACAGAAATGGCTACAAGCATACATTGACAGAGAACTTCCAGAGGTTCAAGGTGGATTAAGAAGAGGTCATGGAATGAGGGATATCACTGTTGATGTCCGATGGATCTTAGCTGAAAGCAGAGACTATCAGAAAGTCGTTTACCTATGCTTTATTGACTATGCAAAGGCTTTCGAATCTGTGGATTATGACAAGCTATGGACAACATTGCTAAGTATGATTATTCCAGAACACTTGATTGTGCTCATGAGGAGTCTGTACCTGGACCAAGAGGCTGTTGTTTGAACAGAACATGGGAACACTGAATGGTTTAAAATTAAGAAAGGTGTGTGACAGGGCTATATTCTTTCACCATACTTAATCTGTATGCTGAGCAAATAACCCAAGAATTTGGGTTATATGAAGAAATATGTGGCATCAGGATTGGAGGAAGACTCATGAACAACCTAATATGCAGATGATACAATCTTGCTTGTTGAAAGTGAAGAAAATTTTAAAAATATTTACTGATTATGAAGATCAAAGAGCACAGCCTTCGGTATGGGTTGCATCTCAATGTCAAGAAAACAAAAATCCTCACCACTGGACCAATAAACAACATTCTTATCCACGGAGAAAAGATTGAAGTTGTCAAGGACTTCATTCTTCTTGGATCAACTTTCAACACTCAAGAAGCAGCATATTGCATTAGGCAAATCTGCTGCACAAGACCTTTTTAAAGTGTTGAAGAGAAAAGATGTCAGCTTGCAGATTAAGGTGCACCTGACCCAAGTCATGGTATTTTCAGTAACCTCAT